GGTCTGCCGGTCTGCCGGTCTGCCGGTCTGCCGGTCTGCCGGTCTGCCGGTCTGCCGGTCTGCCTGTCTGCCTGTCTGTTGGTCTGCCGGTCTGCCGGTCTGCCGGTCTGCCGGTCTTGCCGGTCTGCCTGCCTGCCTGCCTGCTGGGGCTCAGTAACTCAGGCCCAGGGCCACCTTGCTGTGTCTTCCCGGCGCCCCCCACCCGATCTCCCGGGCTTCCCCTGCGTGCTATGTGACTCCAACCTCGGTGTGGGCCCAGGGTCTAGACCGGCCAGGCTGCACAGCGGCGCCCGCGCGGGGTGAGCCCTTCCGGGGCAGTTCTGCGCCCGGGCACTCGGGTTCCAAGCCCCCCGTGGGTGTCCGACTCAGGTGAGTGTGCGGAGCTGAGCAGGAGGAGGCTTTGCCCACCTGCAGGCAGGAAGCAGGGCCCGGAGGCTCCGTGGGAGGAAGGGAAGAGCAGCGGGAAGGAGCCGCCTGCTCTAGGGCGCCCCCTGCCGGGCCCGGGGAGATTCGGGCAGCTCCCAGCTCTTGGGTCGGCTCAGCTAGTGGCTCAGCGAGGGTGCCGCCGTCCCGAAGGGGTGCCCCACAGGCTCCCACTGCAGCCGGCCGACATAAGCAAAACTTGGAAATCCTCGTTGTAGTAGAGAAGATTATGTTTTGTTTGGCTGCTAAAATCCCGTTTGAGAAAAAAATAGGAAAAATTTCCACTGGTAGTGTCAGGGAGGGTTACCAAACGACGTGCGAAATCTGAGTTTAACGTGGGCAAAGTGGATGTAAGAAAGGTTTGCGAGTGCATTAGAAGAATTTAAATCCCCCACGCAAGTAGGTTGACTGACTGGCAGCCGTGGATCTACTTCTATTTTCCAATCGCTGTGCAGTGAGCAGGCAGTTTGTATTATCAGGGAAACCCCAGGGCATTTTCCTTTTCACGTTTCACGGAAGGCCACCGCCGGAAGGGGGAGCGGGCACATGTCTGACTGCTGGCACACACCTGTAAATCCCAGCCCTCTGGGAGGCCGAGGCAGGAGGATTACAAAAAGGGGGGGGGCTGCGGACGGGGGTACAGCTAAGTGAGGGGGGAGGGGAGAGGAAGGGGTTTGGAAGAAGCCGCCAACAGGGGTTGGACAGGTGCTGTAATAGGGGTCTGCCTGGTGTGCTGGCTGGGGGCCAGCGTCCCCTCATGGCTGGGTCTGCACCCTGGGGCCCCTCCTGGCTGTGCCTGGGACAGTAGGAACATCTGGAAAGCGTTCCTGTTTCATACACAGGAAATGCGCCTCCGCCCTGCACGGGTCTCCACTCCTCCCCCCTCGCCCCTCCTTCCCTTCACAGGGGGAGCAGTGAAGAGGGGCCCAGGTGGCCTGAGGCCCCCTCCCCACCTGGACATCCAGTTGAGCGGCCACACTCGGGCTCCCAGCTGCAGGAGAAAGGAGCGCCAGCGCCACCTGCTGGGGTGAAGGGGCAGGGCCGTCCTCCAGGCACACGATTTAGAGCCTCAACCTCATGCTTGGGGTGCTGCCGCCCCCTCACCTCCCAGGCCTCTCCAGAGGTGGCTCTTTGAGCAGCCACCCCACACTCTGGACCGCGTGTGCCCCCAACACCGGGTCCAGCAGGATTCAAAGCAATGCCTGGGACGGTCACCCCCAGCTCTGAACTGGACGACGGCGCCATGCTGGCGGGAGGCGGGGCCACACCGGGCAGGGCCAGGGGTCATCTTTACGGCATCGTTTTCGCTGTACTTCCCGTGCTGCACAGGTTACTCATGTAGTCCAGAAGGGTTTTAAAATGGGAGGAGAGATATCCAAAGACTGCAGAGGGAGACCCCAGGCAAGGCCTTCCCTGTGCACCGCAGGACCCCACCGGACTCCTCACCCGGGCACCAGGTTGCAGCCCCCAAACATGCGGGTCCTCTGCCAAGCTCCAGGGCTCTGGGCCTCAAGAGGCAAGGGCTGAAGAGTCCATATCCTGGGTTTCAACTCTGCAGCCCAGCGCAGGGCAGGAAGTGGGGACAAAGTCCTGCAGGACACCCTGGGCTCCACCAGGGGCCTCTGGGCCAGAGGAGCGTGAGGCAGGGTCTCCCTGTCCAAGACTTCCTACACTTCTGTGATCTGCAGGTCCTGACTTGAGGGCAGCCTGGCCTGGATCACCTGGCTACTTAGGGAACCTCTTGGGCTGAATGAGTGGGCGGCTGGAGTGGGGGGAGGAGGATCACAGGTTTAAGCCCCGTGTGGGCGACTTGGTGACTTAAATGATTTCAGTTTTGAAAAGCAGATCTCAAGGATCTGCTCACTAGACGCAGACCCCTGCAGAATGGCTTGGCATGCTGCTGAATGAATTAGGGAGACTGTGCCCGTCACCGAATGTGCTTCTCAGACCTTCCCCGAGCAGCCAAGTCAAGACGAGGGCAGCACGAGTCCAGGGAGCCCTTGCTTTGGTGTTAGTATTTTTTCTTTGTGGCACTAGAGGCTGAACCCCGGGCCTCTGCACTAAGCTACACCCCCAGCTGTTTTGATCTCACTGAATCACCCACATTGAGCTAGAACTTGGGATCCTCCTGCCTCAGCTTCTCAGCACGGCCAGCTTAGGTATTTGTCTTAATCCTGGGAGTCCTAGTTCAGGTTGTGACCTTCCTTGCCCCTCTCTCATCTGTACCTCTGGGGCTACGAGGAAACCCACTCCAGGGTAGGACAACACTCCAGTTTGCATCTGAAACATTTTATTTCAGGAAATACATTTCAACACTTTGTTATTTATACAAAAAGAGACGCATTTCTCAGGAGGCACATAGCAAAACGCCATTGTGGAACAGGGCCCCATGAAATGAACTTTTCAAAATCTGGTTACAGAGAAGGAAAGCGAAGCTGACCCTGGGGACGCTGCTGTACCCCCCACCCCAGCGCCACCGGGGCCCGGGCTCCCAAGTCTTGGGCCCCGCAGCCAGACATCTCCTTCCTTCAGTCTTGGTTTTGGCAAACACTTGGCAAGTCGGCAGTTGGCAAGTAAACATTGGGCTGAGGGGCTGCTGAGGGGCTGCACACCTCGAGAGGAAGGCACAGAGGCAGTCGCCGTGGCTCACACGCTGCAAGCCAGTCTGTCCAACCCCGTCCCTCGCTGCGATTCTCCGCACGGTGCCAGTCTGGGGTCTGCAGGACACCGCCAGGCGGAGACACCTGTATGCAGCCCCCACAGCCTCCTCCTGGGGACTCAGGGCAGCCCCAGCGCTTCTGTCTGTGCGCCTCCAACCCCTCATCTCTCCCTCTCCAGGGGGTCTTCACCAGGGCATCAGGGGTCCAGGCACCTGAGAGACAGTGGTGCCTCCTGGCCTCCTGCCTGAGCCAGGAGCAGAGTCTGGGGTTGGGGCAGCTGGACCAGGATAGAACCAGAGCATCCTGGCCAAACCAGAGACAGACAGACGACAGACAGACAGACAGACCTCCAACTCCCCCAGCACCTTTCACAGCTTCCCCTGCTTCCTTTGCTCCGGTCTTCCCTAAATTCAGGGGTGGGGTGGGGCGCCCTTCTGTCCTCACCAAGTTTCACACCAGAGGACCCAAAGCCCCCCTGCCAGGGGTGAGTTGGTGGTGGGGGTGCGGCAGTGAGTCACACACCTCCTCTCGCTTTCCTCCCTTTCCTGGCCCAAATGGAAACCTAGCAGAGTCCTCTGACTCACACGGACGACTGGGTAAAGGCACTTTCTGCTCCAGGATGGGCTCCGGGCGGGTGGCCTGGCCAGGTCTAAGCAGTCAGTAACGTGGGCTATCGGACCCACTCGGGGTGGGTCGGGGACTGAGTTATGGCCCACGCCACTCGGGGCAGGAGGGGCTCCATCCTCCCACTCCAGGAGCTGTGGACACGGGGACGGGGGCGATGGGGGCTGCTGTACCCAGGGGACCTGGTCCCTGACGAGGCTCCAGGGTGAGGACTTCGCGGAGGGGGCCGCCAGGGCGGCTCTGTGTGCCCATCGGGGGAGACAGGCTGGGGTGCAGGGTCAGGCCCCGAGGGGCCCGGGGTCCTAGGAAGGCCACAGGGTCCCACACTGAGGCCCCTCCGCGGGCCGCCAGGAGCGACTGACAGACACTCAGGAGGCTGTGCCTTGTCACCTGGCAGCGTGGGAAGGGGGCAGAGAACGGTGGTGACGAACGGAGAAAATGATATAAAATAAGACAGGGCGGTGGGCAGGCCTAGGGGACGGGGAGACGGGGCGGGTCCGGCAGGGGCGGTGTCTACATCTCCTGGCCTTCCGGCTCCTTCTCGACGCTGTTGGCCATGGCACTGTTGCCCTCGTTGAGCCGCTTTACGCGGTACGCCTCGAAGTGGATGCTGCTGGTGATGTCCTTGATGTTCTGCATGTGCGTCCTGTGGGGACAGCGGGTCAGCCCGGCCCTCCCGCCACGGCGACCAGGCCTGGCACAAGTCCCGGTGTCCCTGCCCCATCCCTGTGCGCCAACCGCTAGTCTGGGGCCTGCCTGGCAACAGAGGACTGGGTGCGGGGAGCGGGGGCTCAAGAGAGGGAGGCCCAGAGGCCCCCAAAGTGCTCTACCGCTGGGCCACACCCCGGCCCCTGTGGCTGAGAAGACCAAGCTGGAAAGGTGGCTGGAAGGGTGGGGGTCCCCAACATGGTGATGTCACTTCTGCCCCACCCCTTGGCCTCCCACGTGGCCCTGCCCACCTCTGGAAGGGGAAGACAGGAGCCCAGGACTCCACAGCTTCCCCTGCCCTGTCCAGGGCTGCTCCTTCAGAGACCCTAGGGGGGCTTCTCCTGCTGGGTTCATGGAGGTCAAAGAGAAGTCCCAGCCAAGTCAAAGGGCAGGGCAGAGGCTGCTGGGAACAGAGCCGAGGACCTGCCACATCTCCACTAGGAGCCCAGCCATGAGGCCTCACGGACGTCCAGCAGTGCCATCGGGCTCAGGTCAAGGGGACCAGGACACAGCCCCATCTGTCCTGGTGACCTTGCAGGGGATCAAAAGGGTGCTCGCTCTGCTTCCTCATCCCCAGAGCATTTCTTAGCTAACGGGACCTGGAGGCAGGGCAGCTGGGAGGGGAAAGTCCTCTGCCTGTCTGCCCACCCCTTGCAGCACCGCCAGGCTCACCTGATGAGGAGGTCCCGCAGGTAGGCAAACTCACAGTGTGTGGTGTTCTCGACTGAGGAGAGTGGACAGAGAAGTGTTAGTGTCATCCAGGGAAAGCCCCATCCCAGCCTGTAACGTCCCAAGGGTGGCCCCACTGGCAGGGGGCAGGGGAGAGGGAGCTGAGTGCTCCATAGGTGAGTTCTGGTCACCTGTCACCTACTCCCCAGGTAAGACCTGGGTACCTGGGAGACTTGGCACTGGGGACTCCAGGGTGGCAGGACCAGCTCAGCTCCTGCTCTCTGGAAGACTCCAGGCCAGTGAGATGGCCCAGCAGCCAGGTCGAGACTTCAGCGAGGCAGAAAGACCCCAGTATGTAGGGGTGGGCCTGCTCCCCTGGGGCGGACCAGGGAGGCCTCCCAGGACGTCCTGGGCTGACCTGAGGACAGGCAGGACTGGGAAGACGAGGAGTTGGGGCAGATTTTCAGAGACTCTGGGTGCTCCAGGTTTTACCCCTGCTCATACACACATGCTCAGGGCACAGGCAGGGCGCACACAGACAGACACCACGTAGAGTGGGCGAGCCTTGACAGCAAATCCAAAAACCAGCCAAACTAAACTAAAAGAGACCAGGCTTAGGATCACCTGGCTGTGAGCCCACACATGCGCGAGCCATGGGGGACAGTGGGCACTTCTGGGGACCAGAAAGCTGTGGCAGGGCCTCAGCTGGCCGTGCTCTCAGGGGCATCGGAGATGGACCGGGCAGAGAAGGCACCGGCGCCCCTGAGACCCATTACTCCACTCTTCCCGGGCCTGCAGGGACCGACAAGGACTCCTCTCTTGAAGCCACGAAAATGGAGCTTAGTTTCTCGCACTGGCAAAATCACAGCGGTTTCTGGAACCCATCTCCAGGTCCATAGTCCAGCCTGCCCGGTCCGAGAAACAGGGCTGTGCTGGGAGAGCCGGAGTCCCACCGGCCGGGCACCCACACACACTGATGCTGCTTATCCACCTCTGAGCCTCTGCTGGGGCACATTATTCTGGTCTCTCTGACACTCTGTTCCCCCACCTGGAAAGTGACTGGTGTCCTCACAAGACACAGACACAACGCAGCGGAGACCAAGCCATGCAAAGGCTGTGGGCCAAAGACCACAGTCTTCCTGTCCCCCGCCCCAGGAGCCAGCACAGCAAGTACCTTCGATGGTGCCCCACTCCCAGGGACACAGGAGGATCAAATGGGGTGAATCGTGGCACCGGCCTCCCTCCCAGAGGTGGGGGAACGTTAGAGAATGCACACCAAGAGGGGCAGAACCACTTAGTGACCATGAGAGCCAGGGCGAGCGAGAAGTGGCTGGTTCCTTGGTCAGCTGTCACCTCACAAGGTCCCTGATATAAAAGATCACGCATTCTGGGGGAATCTCCCCCGACCCCAGCATGCAGATCCGCCACTTTGTAACAGCTCCAACCTGGCCTGTATTTCTGGACGATTTCTATGCAGGCCGCCTGCATAGCAGGACTTTGCCACCAGGTGGCAGTAGAGAAAAAGCCAACGTCAGGCCCCGGGGCCATATCCCCAAACGTGCCTTTCACAAAAAGGTTAGAGATTTGAAAGTGAGTAAGCAAGCCCAGGGAAAGCCTAACTGGGTCTGTAACCAGTCCTCAGAGAAGAGACCCCAGCAGAGGAGCGAGCAGCAGAAAAAGCGGCTCCCACAATCTCCCGACGGTGGGTGGGGCTTCCTCAGGGCTGAGGGCTCAGGATTGCAGAGCAGAACTGGGCCTGTGGATTCACAGCTGTCTCCCTTTCTGGGGCCCTAACCGCACCTCCTGCCCTCCAGTTAAACCACACTTGCTGTGAAGAGAGCTGCACTTCCCAGGGCAACTGTTCTCCCAAAACGTCAATGATCTTGCTAGAATCTTGGCCACGGTACCATCTTAAGGAGGGTGAAACCGAGGCCCTGGAGGGCTGGGGAATTTGCCCAAACTCTCACAGCTGACGTTCTGCTCCTTCTCTACAGGGCCTTTCAGCCTCGCTGTCCTCAGGGAACAAAGTGGCTTTTCCAGTCCACTCTGCTTTTTCCTCGCCCTGGCTAGAGAAGACGGATGGGAGGAGCAGAAAGAAGAGAAACACCCGCGCCCGCCCACCTGAACGAGTTGGACTGTACCCCAGAAAAGATGTGTCTAGGTCCCGGCCCACGGGCGGGCTGTATCTGGAAAGCGCCACATTTGGGGTGGCCCCGCATCCAGTGCCCGGCGTCCTCCTCATGAGACACAGACACGACGCAGCGGAGACCAAGCCTCGTGCAGGCTGCGGGCCGAAGGCTCCAGAGTCTTCCCGTCCCCGCCCCAGCAGCCAACACAGCGAGTACCTTCGATGGTGCCCCACTTGGTCTTCCTGCCCAGGATGCGCTTGCCGTTGACCTGGTACTCATGGTCACTGCCCACCACGGCGAACGGGATCATCTCCTGGGGAAGGGGCAGGCGGGCGGGCGGACGGTCACCGGTGCTGGGAAAGGGCAGTGCCTCCCGGTGGGCCCCAACCGGAAGCGGGTGAGAGGGCCGGGTGTGGATGCCCGATGAGGCCCCCGTGGCTCAAGGTCATCCCACTGGTGCCCGGGTGGAGCAGGAGCACCCTGCCCCTCCCTCCACGCCACGCAGGACCCCGCGGAAGCCTCGGGCTGACCCCTCACCCGGAACTTCTCGTTCACCAGCCGGTCCTCCGCGTCCTCATCAAACTCCTTCTGGGGGTACACGTCGATGTCGTTGGACAGCAGGTCTGCGGTGATCTGGGGAGACAGGGGGACCACCTGTGCCACGTCCTCCTGATGTCAGCTGCTCTGGGCCTGGGCTCAAGGGCAGGCTCTGGGGAGCCGTGACCCTAATAATCTGCAATGCCAGTGCCCCAAGTGGAGGAGGGGTGGCTGCAGAGCTGCCTGCCTTGAGATAATGCTGCTCCCCAACAGTGGGGTCCTGGGTGGCTGTCTCCCCATCTTTCCCAGCCAGCTTATCATGCAAGCCATGAAATAACTCAAGGCAGTGAAGGCCTCACCTCCTGAAACCCGGCCATGGCGGCCCACCAAGCCCAGGGTGGGCCCCTCCTTACAGCCCATGGTGCACCTGATGCCAGAAACCACCACACCCCACCACAGCAACAAAAGCCAGGCAACGGTCAGCCTGCTTGGGGAACTGTCGTCTCGTCTGCCCAGGAAGACCTGAGCCCACACACAGCTTGGAGGCTACCTGTTCCCTCCCCGCCAGCACACGTCCCTGTGCAGTGGACCAGCCTTCCCCAAGCATGCTGGGAAAATCTCTGACACCACCTAGGGTGGGGACTGCGGGCCCTTGAGATCAGATTGGGGTGCACATCTGTTAGGAAGAGGTGGCTAGGGCTGGGCACCTGCAGGGCACCATCTACCCAGATGTCAGAAGTCCCAGGCTGTGGTACTGGTCTCCAGCCCCTTTGGGCTTTCTCTGCCACCTGATAAAAACTAGGCATGTTTTGTCTGAGGGGCTCGCATCGACCCTGCTCCCAGGGAGGGGCACGGGTTGATCCTGAATCTGTCTTTTTCCAGCCCCGCCCACATTTTGCTGGAGAACGGGTCTCTCCCGTGGAGCTGCTCTTGAGGATGGGCCATCCCAGGACGCCCAGGACGCCCTGAGGGAGCCACCTGCATGGAGAGCGCACGCGCCCACTTCACGACCTGTGCCCCTGGACTTGGCGGCCTCTCCCAGGCCTGCAGCTGGCCCAGAGGGCCAAGCGCCGTACCCGCTGTTTGAAGTAGACCCTCTCCTCCAGCGTCAGTGTGTCGGCCTTTGCAATGACAGGGACGATGTTGACCACCTTGCTCAGGCGCTTCATGAACTCGATGTCCAGGGGCCTAAGGCTGAAATGGACGGAGGCGGGTAAGACTCGGCTCTGGGTCAGTGGGAATGAGGGAGGCCCCACCTCCCGGGCTGGGCCAAGTGGCTAATGGAGGATGGCAGGGAGGAACAGGGCAGGCCCTGGACACAAGTGGCAGCTCCACTGCTGGGACAGGGCCAGCTCTAAGCCCCTTGTCCAGGAGGGTCCCGACCGTACCAGGGCACAGGTCCTCAGCGGGGCTGCTCAGCTGGCCCAGGGGCTGCCAGGCTGTGGGGCTCTGACCGCAGGGAGAGGAGGGGTTTAGCTAAGACTCTCCATGGCCACTGTGGGTGATGCCCGCCCTAGAGCCTGCTCAGCTAGGAGGGTGCTGCCCTGAGGGGCTCAGTGGCCCACAGGAGACACAGAGGAAGGCTTGGTGTTCTGCGGTGAGGCTCACTGCCTGCACTGGAATTTGTGCCTGCAGGGCTGGATGGGATTTCCTCCAAAACCCTGGGATCCCACCCGAAGCATAACCCACGTGATGGCTCCTGACCGCGGCCCAACTCCCCACCCCAGCGACAGCACCATCGGGCAGCCCCGGGACAGCGGGACCAGGTGGGGAGCGGCTGGCACGTACGAGTGGCCGGTGGCGGGGATGAAGTAGAGGCAGCAGTGCACACGCGTGTCGGGGATGCGCTTCTTGCGGTTGATGTTCACCTCCTCCTGCAGGTACTTCTCGTACTGGTCGTTGATGAACTTCATGATGGGCTGCCAGCTGCGTGAGAGCCAGGTGGGAGCCGGGGTGAGGTGCGTCCCCAGTCTGGACCACGGAGACGGCGCCCCAGCCCAGCACCCACCTTCTGGTCAACCTTCCAACCACAGCCTCTTCTCAGAGCCCCCGGCCCAGCCGACTCCGCTGTGCTCCTCAAAACGGGACGGTGGGGCCCAGGCAGCCCAGTGCCCTGGGAACACGCCCCCTCGAGAAGCCCCCCAAGCCCTCACCAGTTCTCGTTGTTGATGTGGTCCCCGAACCCTGGAGTGTCAATCACTGTCAGCTTCATCCGGACGCCCTTCTCCTCGATATCTGCGGGAACCACCGAGTCCCGAGTCAGAGGGTGGCCAGGACCCGAGGGACGGGAGGAAGACGGCAGCTCCAGCAGACCCTTCCCCGTGTCGCTGCCTGGGTTCTAGTGACAGCTCCCGGGCCTGAGGGCTGCAGACCGCTCCTCCCCTAGACGTCACACTACCAGGGGTCTCAGCAGCTCCCCAGCCTGTGCTCCGAGGGGCCCCCGCCCGAGCCCCTGCCTGGACCACAGGGCGCTGACCGTGGGTGATGGACTTGATCTCGATGGTCTTGGGGATGCGCTCTTCCAAGGTGGGCTGCACCGACTTCCGGCTGATTTTGGACTTGAAGAGGGTGTTGATCAAGGTGGACTTCCCCAAGCCACTCTGCCCTGGGGAAACACGGGGTAGGGTGGGGTCACAGCCACGCGACGGGCAGGAGGTGTCCACTGACAAGTGCAGACCCAGGGCCAGGCCAGGTGCCCAGCCCGCTCAGACAGGGTCCTGTCCGGAGGGGCGACCATCCGGACCCCAGGGGGAGGCCTCCTGCCTGCTCTGACTTGGGATGGGGAGGCGGGGCCCACAGAAGACTTCAGGCTGCCCGACCCGCCTTTAGCTAGAGGATGTGGACTCAGCTCCTCCTCGGGGTGGCGGGCACTTATTAAACTCGGGTGGCTGTGCACAAATCATCCAGCCTTGGGGTGCCACAGTGGCTATGCTGTACAATGCAGCTGCACCTACATCTCCTCTGCTGGGGCTGTGGTGAGCACCCGGCTCACACACATAACAAAGATGGGATGCGTGTGCACACTCGGCCCACGCACGCACAACTGCAGGCTCTGAGCTCTGTGGCTTTACTGTGCCACCCATCCCGACCTCCGACCTCGGTGGCACCTCGGATGCCCAGGAGGGCAGGAGCTGGCATCGGAATCCCTGTAGTGTGTGGCAGCCCAGGGGTAGGGACCCCTCTGCCCTCGGGTTTGTGTCCTGGGCTGCTGTCACCCGGCCCAGCCCGGCCCCTGGGTGCCTTGGGTCCAGGAGATGTTGCCTGGAAACGTTGCGGTCCCCTTGTCACTACCATCACTGTTGGCACCAACACCAGGTGCCCACTGAGCATTGGGGACCATGCCCCCCGGGCTCTCGACCCTCTTGCCCTCTGGGTCGGGGTTACACCATTTCCTGGGTGAGGAAACTGAGGCTCACAGAGGGGAAGGAGGACTGTTCCCCGGGTCTGTGGGAGTGCCCACACGGGCACTGCCCTCCCACCGTCTCCTGGACCAGGTGCCGCTGTAGCCGGGTGGAAGGGCCGGAGCGGACACCGTGGCCCCATGGACAGCACCTGCCCTGCTGAGGGCTCCTGGGTTACTCGCATGTCTTTTTCTTCACACGGCACCCCAAGGGTGAGCCCACCAGTGACAGCTGGGAGAGAAAGAGGCCCAGAAAGGTGGCCCTGATGCCTCCTGGAGGTCAAGGCCAAGCCACGGGTGAAGGTGGTGCAGCCACTCTTCTCTCTCCTCTTAGGAACAGAGCTGAAGGAGGCCCGAGTCACAGACAGGACCAGACAGAGCCTGGGCCCTGCCGGGTGCCACCCCCAACTCTCTCTCCAGCCTCCAGCCTGGCAGACACCTGCCCAACTGCCACAGAACGGTGGGAGTCCTTGAGGGGGACCTCGAGCCTCTGTCATGGAGCACAATGGGGGCAGGGAGGCCGCGCAGAACAAGGAGAAAACACGAGGTCCCCACACGGATGAGCCCGGTGAGAGCAGAGGCAGGAGGGAGGTGCTGGGACCAGGGTCCTCAGACCCCTGCAGGTGGTGTCCCCACCACACTGGCCTGTGTGGCACTGTCCCAGACCCCAGCGCCCTTTTCCAAGAGTCTGCAATCAGCAGCTTGTTTCCTCCTGAGAAAGGAGGGCCCCTTCACAGTGTCACTGTGAGGACCCCACGGGGCCTGAGGGGCTTCAGAGATGGGAGACTACTCGCTGTAAGACCACCTGACCACGCTGAGCAACGCCCCCGGAAGGTCATCTGGGTGTTCGATGTGACAGTGGACACTCAGCAGACACAAAACACAAGGTGGGTGTCACTGGTCACAGAGTACCCTGCTCTCTTATCTCGGGATCTTAGCACAAGGAGGCGCCCTGGAGAAGTCCGTGGGAGCTGTAGGTTCCCCGGCCCAGATACATACAGCACTTGCAATCCATAGTACAGAAGGGAACTGAGCCCAGGGCTTCTGTGAGCAGCCCTGTGTCCGGGCTGAGACTGGTGCCCTGCACGGGTCTGGTGTGGAGTGGGCGTGGGGGACTCACCAACCACCATGATGTTGAACTCAAAGCCCTGCTTCATGGCCTTCCTGCGCATCTGCTCCAGGATGGAGTCGATCCCCACGTAGCCAAAGTCCGTGGGTGCCTTCTCATTGCGCGTCGCAGGTGCCGGCTTGAGCATGGCATCTCTGGGGGTGTCCGCCATGTTGCCCACACAGCCAGGAGCTGCCTCGGTGGCTGGGGAGGAAGAGCAGAGGTGTTGGGGTAAGGCAGGGGCCGACCATCAGGTCCCTTCTCAGATGGGAAACAGGCACGGGTTAGTGATTTGCCACAAGACCCCTGCGGAAGGTCCCGGATGGAAGCCACACTCTGCCCCTGCTCCAAAACTCAACCTCACTTGCAGTGGGCAGCCTGGGCCTCTGCATCCCCAGCCCCAGGCTCAGAGAAGCCTCAGGGTCTCTTGTGGTCCAGCAGGAGGGATGGGCTCTGCCTTCAAAGGCCGCACCTCCCATCCTCACGGAGCTGTCTGCTTCTGGGCACAGCCCCGGGGCAGCGCTCAGAGACAGGACAGGCTGGGGTGTGCCCTGGACGGGTCCTGGTGACCATCCAGGGGACATCCCGCCCTGTGTGTCCCTCCTACAGGCAAAGCCCACGTCTTCAGGTCTGCAGACAGGCAACAGGAGTGAACCGGATATAAACACAGCTTCTGCCTGGCTGCAGGAGTTCCACATACCCAGCTCCAGACCAGTCAGGGCCTGGATGGCCACCGGGTGCCCCCCAGGGGTAGGTGCAGTGCACACTCCACAGCCCTGCCCACGCCACCTGGCGCATCCACAGGTGTGGAGGCACCCAGCGCCCTACCACGGGGGTGGGCACACCTTCCGCCCCCACTGCCCGGGCTGTTCTGTTTCCAGGCACACTCTGAGCTCAAAGCAGGACTGCTCGCCTCTCGGGCCAATCCCCAGCCCCTGGGTAGGGACAGCAGGGGGACTAGGATTCATGTCCTCACCCCGCCGGGCACCCCCCAGTAAGTATGGAGGGGCAGATCCCCAAGGTGGTGAGCACAACCCCACCACCAGGGCTGGTGAGCCGCCGCCTTCCGAAATGTGCCAGCCCAGGCCAAGGACTCCGGACACCCTCACCCTGGCAGCAGCAGGAGGGCGGGCTTCCACGCCCAGGGAGGTGCCTGACTCCACTGGGCCCACTGGGCTAGGCCCATGTCCCCGAGGGAGGGCCTCTAGCATCTCTGCTGCTCTTTGTTCTGCTTACTGGAGTGGCAGCGGGAGCTGAAGCGGGTGGGCCGGCATCTCCTCTCCAAGCCCTGCCAGGCCAAGTGGGGGGCACAGAGCTGACTTACAGTCAGTTCTGGGGGTGTGGGGGTCTCCTTATGAGCTGTTCCCCTGCCTCTCAGCCTCTCCGGGACACCATCATCTCTGAGTTCAGGGGACGGGGGAGCCAACAGCACGCAGAGAATACCAGGAATTGCCAAGGGGCCCATAAATCTCCATTCCCAAACAGCAGAGTAACAAAAGGCAGATCCTCCAAGGCCAGCGGCGCCAGGCTGCTGTCCCCAGTCCGGCTCGGCCCGCAAGACTTCAGGACAGGGGCTTCTGTCCTGCTCCGCCATATCCTCTGGTCTCTCACTGCTTCATATAAACAAAGGCACAGTGCTGCCTCTGCCCCAGAACCTGTGGCTTGGGGCGCTTCCTGGGGCCTGCCTCTCCCAGCCTCAGCCACGTGACTGAAAATTGCTTCCATCTGTCTGTGCGTCTAGGAGCCAGGCTTCTCTGGCCGGGGGCCAGCTCCTCCCCACCCGTACCCCTCCCTGTGCACTTCATCCCCTTCCCCCGAGGGGCAGGGCTGCCCCCTGAATTCTCTCACCGCCGGAAGAGGAAGGGTCCTGGCGGCTCCAGCTGGGCCCCACCACAGACACCAGCGCTCAGTGCAGAAACAACCAAACTTCCTGCTCATGGGGAGCCCCACTTGAGAAAAAACCCTAAAAACACAGAGGTGCCCCATCCTTCTTGGTCACGTGGGGAAGTTTCGGCACCACCAGCCCCTCCTGGGGGAGGTGGCACTGCGGGAGCCACTCCTGCCTCCTCCCTGGCCAGAGGGTGCGCTCTGGGGCCGCCTTCAGGAGTCCCCGGAAAAGTAGGGGACCCTCACCCACAGACACATGCGAACTGAACCCTTGCTCTCTATGGGAAGCCATCAGGGGCCTTACCAGGCCCGCAGGAGCTGGAGCCGGTGGGCAGGGGAGGCAGAGCCCACTTCCTCCCTCTCCCGGGCTGGTGGACCTGCTGGCCGCTGGCCACCTGTGACCTTTAGAGTCACAGTGAAATGTACCATTTTAACCATGAGTACGTGCATGGTCTGGGCGTGTAGAGGACACTGTTGTGCAACCTGCCTCCAGAATTCAGCTCAGAGGGCTGCAACTCTGCCCACTTAACCACTGCCCCAGTTTCCTCCCAGCCTCGGGAAACCACGCCCTACTGTCTACCTCTCTGAACCGGAGGATTGCAAGGCTTAAGTAAAAGTGAATCCCAGTGTGGAGCTAGCACAACACACCCTCGGGCTCCGTCCTCGCTGTGGCAAACGTGCTGAAATCCCTCCGCTGAAATCCCTCCGTGAGGCTGAGGAGCACGCCCGGAACACACGGCATCACATCTGTCCGCTCATCTGTCACAGACGCAGGCTGCTCACACCTAACGAGAACCCCTCCAAGTGCGCTCTTGCTAACCGCTCCGGGGCCTGCACTGGTGTCTGTGGGACACACCCGGAAATGAGCTGCGGCACACACAGTGGCTGTCATTTTATTTTTGAGGAGCTGCCACAGGCGTGCTCACACGTGACTTCAGAGCCCTGCAAACTGAGCTGGACCAAGTGAGGAACTGAATTTTTAATTCAATTTTATCAAGTTTAAATATTACAAGCACCAAATTCTAGTCCAACCTGCTTCAGCATGTGGAGAAACTGGGTTTACAGAGTGATTTTTTTCCCCTTCCCTTGAAACTCCATTGGAAGGAGCCCAGCCAACGAAAGACCCTCCCAGACTTTGTCGGTCCTGAAATGTCACAGCTGTTTCTGTGATACCTGATTCACATTGGCGCTTCCCACTTAGTGTAGCTCTGTGCCTGGGGAACAGCCATGCATTTCTGACCCCACCCAAACCCTTTGGGGCCCAAGGCTGTGGCCCGTTCGTGGGTACCCCAAGGCCTAGCCCAGTGAGGAGGATGAAGCCGCTACTCAAGAAGTATCATTTTAAAAGTCCTTCAGCGCGCGCACACACACACACACACGGAACAACAAAATGCGGTCATCCATGCAATAGAACCTCATTTGGGCCAAAGCCCTGACTCACACTGTGACACAGGCACACTCTGAAAGCCTTATGCCGAGCGAAAGAAGCTAGGCACGGAAGGCCACGGGGCATGTGAATCCAAGGATATGAAGAGCACGGAACTGACTGATCAAGAGACAGAAAGCAAATCCTTGTTTGCAGGGGCTGGAGGAGAGAGGAGACTATTTAATGATGTGGCGTTTCCTTCTAAGGTGGCGAAAGTGTTCTGGAGTTACATCCAGAAGACTGTTCCGCAATATTGAATAAATGCCACCCAGCCCTGCACCCTGAATGGGGGAAGCAAGCAGGGAAGGGAGGAAGCAGGCTGGCACACATTTCTAGCAGGGCTGGTCAGAGAAAGAACCCAGCCAGCCAGCCAGGGCCAGATGCCCATGCCCAGGGCATCCCGAAGACACAGTGCCAGGCAGTATCTCCCAGCAAGGGTGTTTCTGGGGGTGGCAACCAGCCGGAGGCACTGTGGGAGACTGACAATGCCTCTGTGGGTTCCCATTTTGAACCCAGGTCCATTTACCACTCCCCTACTCCCTAGAACCTGCTGTGCTGCCTTTTTTCCCTCCTGCCCAACTCTGGGTCCAACCGTAAGAAGAGGGGCTATGCTGCACAGTCCCAGGCCAGCACCCTCTGCAGGCTTCTGCACGGCGATCCATGGTGGGTTGCTGGGACAGGGCAGTAGGCCGCATGCCCGGAAGACAGCCCCCCAGCGAGCAAGCAGCTACCTGGGCACCCACCCTTCATCACAGGGTGGCTCACTGGATTCAGCACAGCAGCCTGGAAAGGATACCCCTTGCCTCCCCTGCCAGTCACACTACTCTGTACCCAGGAGCATCCTCACAATCTGTCCTGTTCTGTGCAATCCTTCTTGCTCAGTGGTCAAAAGCAGAGGCAGCTCCACTCCCAGCTCCCGTGGGCAGCCCTGTGTCCGCTGGGCCTGTACCCCAGGACAAAGCTCTCCGGGCAAGGTCAAAGTCATTCCCCTTATCTCACCCCAACTCTAGCCACGCCTACTTCTTGAAATCCATGATCACAACACGATCGCCTACACGCTCTGCTCAGTCACGGCCCTCGTGACAAAGCAGAAAGCAAGGCCACCCTGTCCCCGGCCCCCTCTGAGGCCTCGCCACAGCCCCGCAGTCACCATGGAGGCACGTGGGCCCACAGCCGCAGTTCCAAGGACATCACCTCCACCTGCAGCTCTACAGCCACCAGCAGGCACCCCCAGGAGCACCCGAGCCATGGCTGGGACCCAGGTCCTGTAAACGTTAGATGCCCTCTGCAAAGGGGCTTCTTCAGACTGAGTCCCCGGTGTGGGTTGGGGGGTAGAGTGACCTGAGCTGCTCCTTCCTCCTCTCCTGCCTCTCTGGGTCCTACCAAGTCCCTTAAGCCCCCAGTAAACCCGGGAAGATGAAAGGTGTGTGTGTTTCCTCCAACCACGTCTCCCACACACCTGTTCCTGGAGCTCAGCTTTGTTCTGCCAGGTTCCAAGCACGCAGCAGGTCCCAGCAGAAGTCTGCCGAATGAGCAAACCAACAAAGGGCAGAGTAGACTGCTGTAGCCAGCACGCCCTGGGGGCCTTCCCAGCCAGGAGCTGGTCTAAAGGAGGCCCGCATGGCCTCCTGGGGGACCTGGCTATGTTGTCACCCCATTTCACAGACAGGCAGCAGAGTCTCACTGTGCTTTTCTTCCTTATCAGTGTCACCCAGCTCCTAAGTGGCAGAAATGTGACTCCACAGGCCCAACCCTGAGGTGCCGCATTGTCCCCAAAGTCAAGGCCCAGAACTGGTCTCAGACAGCTGCAGGGAGTTCGCCCCAGACCTCAGCCCCAGCCCCTCACTGGGCTGCTGGCCCCAGGTGGTAAGAGGCAGGGCCTGCAGAGCCG